GTCATTGACCCTCGTGTGGAATATGGCTTCCGCCCGGCGGATCCCGCTGTGGAAGCGATGGGCGCAACGTTACCGGAAACTTCCCTCACTGCCTAACTTACAGCTGAGCCACAAGGAACTGGACGTGCGAGTGAACGACACCCTCCGTTTGAGTATGCCAAACTCAAGGCACGCCGTTGCCTTCTTTCATATTGTCGCCCTGTGACGGATGGGTCAACCCAAACGCTCCCGCGAGCTCTGTGTCTGCGACCGCAAGAGCTCAGGGCCACTGCTTGAGCTCAGCACATGGCCCTTCTACTTCCCTGGCTATTGCCGAGAAGCGCGGGGCGTCCTGATCTTTCTGATCAAAAGCGTCCACGGCGCCTGGGCAATCTTGTTAAAGTGGCGGCTCAAACTTCCACGATTTTTCGTAGTCGGGTTATTCCCGCCACTTCACCAGATATTGAGTTTGACCCTGGTGACGACGTCGTCTCACTAAACGTTCCACGTGATAGTGGACGTCACCGTTCTCATCGAGAAGAGTCGGTGGTGGACGGTGACGACCGGGTCGACCGCCGTCCGGTGATTCGTGATGCTCTTCGAGCACTTGAGGATGAGGCCCTTCGTGATCGGAGCTCCGCTGAGCGTCATGCTGAAGTAGCATATTGCGGACGCTCTTGTAGATTTGAAGCACGTCGTGCGCCGGCTGGTACACCTTGAGGACTACGACGCTCTGTCAAGGCGAAGCCTAGCCGTGGAGCAGGCGAATGCGTCGCTGCATGCGACGGTGAAGCGCTTATCGCCATTGGAAATGGATGTTGTTACACTCCGTGCTCTGAACCAGTTGCTGGTTCAGCTTCTGGGTGGCCAAGGGCCCGTAAGATCCGCTTCGGCGCCAACTCTTCCTCGTTCATTTGCGCCGGATCTCGGTACAGCTTGAGCAAGCCCACGAAAAAAATAGGGTGGGTGCGGATTCGTTTTGAAAGATTCAGCGTATACACTAGGCCCCGCTTGGCCACATACTAAAACTGCTATCTTCAGGACGAAGCTTCGTCCTGAAGATAGCAGAAGCTGCATGTGTAGGAAGGGTTTTAGTGTTTAATAACACGTCTCCGGCCTCAAAGCTTTCTACTTCGCCTCTTCCTTTTTCATCTGCATATTCTTTCTGCAGGTCTTGGCTTTCAGCTGTCGCATCGCGACCGTGTCGTAGGACACTCAGTCTAACAGACAAGAGGTCATCGACTTCTTTGCGGATGGTGAGGGGGCTGACATCAGCTAGTTGCTCGGCTATTCCCCCATCAAGCCCTGAGCCATGGGATGGCGGCGTCAGTGGGACGCGAGAGTGAACCAGCCCGTTCACGTAGAACGGCGTGTAGCCAGTAGACAAATCCACTGCATTGTTCAGTGCAAACTCTACAAGTGGCGACATTGCATTCCAGCACCTCGGCGTCTTAGCCCAGACACTGCGAAGAACGTCTTCGGTGACGCGCTTCATCCTTTCGGTTTGGCCATCCGTCTGCGGATGATCCGCTGTCGACATATCCAATTTGGTGCCTAGCACCTTGAAGATAGTCGACCAAAAATTTCCCGTGAAACGAAGGGTCTCTCATCGGAGCCAATCGACTCTGGGAGTCCGTGTTGACGGAAAACACGATCCACGAACAGCGTTGCTGTTCCGACTCCGTCGATGGTGTCTGGCACCGCCGCCTAATGAGCCATCTTGTTCAACCGGTCGGCGAATACTACGACACCCGTGTTGATCGCCGAATCTTTTGGCAGGCTAAACACAAAGTCCAAACTCATGGACTGCCAGCACCCAGTGGTTACCAAAAAGCTGGCCAGCAGCACAGCCGCATTTGGAGAGGGTTTCACCCGTTGACACGTCTCACACGTGCGCACATAGGTGCTCGTCCATTTGTACAGCTTGGGCCACCAATAGTGGTGAGTCAGAGAGTTCTTTGTTTTCTCACGACCGAGATACCCACTGAGTGGCGTGTCGTGGGCCTCATATTGGATGCGACATTTAAAGTCCTCATGTTGAGGAATTACAATTTGTGGTGTATCCAATGAATCGGTGCTATAATATAGCAAGCCGTTATGCAACGAATATCGGTGCAATCGAGCACGCAGTCTTGATGACAATTCCTTGACCGAGTTTCCAAAATCTTTGCTCCCCAAAGCCCGTGGCAACGCTACACACATCCTATCACCCGCATACGCGGTGCGGATTAAATCCGTCACAGACGACGTTACTGTTGTGACATGAGCAAGCTCATAGTCTGGTCTGCGTGACAACGCATCAGCCAAAGCATACTGCTTTCCCGGCATGTACTTTACCTCGAAATTATATTCCGCAAAGACGTATAGCTATCTAGCCATTCCCTGCTAGAGATGGGGCGACTGAGTCGCAGTGTGTAGTGATGCATGATCTGTATAGATCACAAACAGCTTGGAGCCGAGCAGGTGGACCCTGAACTTGACAGGTGCACACTTCATCGCAAGTAGCTCCTTGTAATGAGCTAAATAGTTCTTCTCTGCAGCTTTGAGCTGTCGAGATTCGAACGCGATCACCCGATCTGACGTCTACTTGCAGCAGTGCACAGCCGATGGCAACGTTCGAAGCGTCACAGACGACGCTGAAAGGACGATAAGGATCTGGCAGCGCCAGTATTGGTGTATGCAGGAGGCTGTGTCTGACCACATCAAAAGCCTCCTGATGTTCGGAGTTCCAACACCATTCCGCATCCTTTTTAAGGAGATTGAATAATGACCGGGCCATTTCTG